ACGTGGAGAAAGTAGAGGCAAGTTAATATATGCTCAGATGTTGTCAGAAGAAATAGGCAGGCAAATCTTTACAGTGAATATACATCAATTCTTTAAAGGGTGTGCCACCTCCACATGCTGAATTACCTACATTTTTGTGGGAATTACCTTAAACCAAGCCCAAGGGAGACATCTGGCATCCTACAACAGAAAGATGTATTACTAAAGCAGAAAACACTCAAGAAAGTTATTAAAATGTCAGACCACACTGAAGTGACTGAAAGAGAATGCAAAAGGTATCATTATTGTCAAGAACTAGCAGCTAATTGCTCAATGAAAATCAGATGGTTTGCATCCTGTGGGTAACTTCCAGGAGTGTAGCCTATTTTATTTCATTCAAATGGTCTTTGGAAGAAATGCGGTCTGTTTTTATTCTGTACCCTCCCCCTTGTGGTATTATACAATTTCAGTAATGGTTTAACAGAGCAGCAGATGCAGTGAAACAATGTAGGCTCTGAGACTGTCAAAAACCTTTTATATAGCTTGACAATTCATAAAGCAGATGTCATTCTGGCATGTATTGTTTCTTTCTCCAAGTGTACATTTTATGATACAGGAAATAAGATGTTTCCCTTTATTCCAATGGACAGATTTCTTACTCAAATGGTGAACAAAGGCACCTCTCAAAATTGATTTTTCATTTATATCAGACTTTGCAAGGCATGAGAAACCAAAAGGCATGCAAGAATTTGGGATGCCTGAATTGTGGGTTAAAAATTTGAGTGTGGAAAACAGTCATGTGCAGGCATGGGCAAGAATTTGCTACAAACACATGCCCTTACTGTGAAGGAGGTAAGGAAATCATCCTTTACTCTGCCAGATAAAACAGCAAACTCATATTCTGCCAAGGTTTTCCGGGCTACAAACCACTTTAGAAACTCAGCATGTGCATTCATCCACCCCTGGAGATCAGCCCCCCTCATTCCTCAGGAACACCCACCTCTTCTGCAGCCACATGAGTCAACCAGCCTTCAGCAGCCCCCTTACAGGAATCTGGCCCACTCAGGAGCCCAGCCGTGAAGCACTGACAAGAACCAGTGCAGAGAACTTTCGCCATCTTGATAAAAGGGAAAACATACCAGGCAAATATTCTTTTCAACATCTACACTTACCATTGGACACAAGTTACTAAAACCGCTATGGATTCTCCTTGAGCTAGTTTCCTTTATGAAATATACAGGTCAGTGCTCTCAGTTTCTGTCATGATACTCCAGATTCTCTCATTTAAACACTGTGACAGGGTTGGTTCAGAGGTGCTTGTCATGCCTGTGGGTGAATTCTGATACCCAAAGACAAAGGATATTTGCCTTCTGTCCAGCTGCCAATTGGTCATGAAATTTCAGGGCAAAAACTTTAAGAGTAATTATGGGAACATCCCAACATTCATTAAATCTTCCCAAATCCAACCCAACAAGCAATCACATGGACAGCTTGCAACTCCAGGTCTTCCTCAGATTAGTGAGACCTCAGGAGAGCAAACAGGAGCTCAGTGCCAGTGTCAGGACATGCTACTGTAAGTCAGGGACCTCCATATCAGACTGGCTTGAGCAAATTTGACATGGTCTAAGGCTAACCAGAGAGAAAGTAGAACAGGTAACACAGGAGAAGTGGGATCATGATTTGCTTTTCCCACTGTCATTCCCTGTGGGACTGTGAATCCAGCAGCCCTCCTTCTTACTGGAGCCTTGGGTGGCATTTGACATCTATAGGGCAAAGTTGCAATCACCACAGAGACCTCAAAGACGACACTCAAGGCCTGCACAGCACTCAATATCTCTCTCTTTTTTTTTTCTTTTTTCTTTTTTTCTTTTTTCTTTTTTTTGCATGCTCTCACAGCTGTCAAAACAAAGACACCTCATTGCTGGAACCCACATAGAGACCTAAGGATTTTCCCTTTAGCATATGACTCTTTAACACTGTAGCATTCAAAGGCAAGGTAAATATGCTGCAGGAACAGAAAAAAAATGGACAGATCATACTTACGATTTAAAATAAAAACAACTAGAAGAGGTGTAGGGAAAAGAAAATAAGACAAATTTTTTTGAAGTAATTACCTACATAAGCAAGTGGTTGCAAGTGCTGAAAACCCTGTAAGAACTTAGGCAGGCAGTAACGGCTCTGTGGAAGTCAATATGGAATGATGTATCAAAGTGAGAGGGCCATCAGGGGGGTGCTGTTAAATGGAAAAACAGTTTGTTCCTCACCTAGCAGAGGGCAGTTCCCAACATGACTGTTATTACCACTTACACAACTGCCATTGTGCCAACAGATAAATCAGTTGGCAATAACTGATAAATGATCACCCACTGCAGCAAAAAAATACACAGAAATCTGGACTTTCATCTCCTTTGCTTAAAGGTTGCTCTGTGTAGGTCATATCTTTGCAGATTCATGCTTCACTGCGCACACACTCCCTCCCTCACCTCTACACCCCTGAAAACAAATCCGTGAGGTGTTTGTGAGGATTGACATGCTGCCCTATCAAAATGGCTTGGCAAATGTGAGCTGAGAACTGGCTGCTTACAAAGGGACTGGAGCCTCTTAATGAGCCTGCTTGAAACCCAAGGTATGCAACTTCTCTGCACTCTTGCTTTAAATTAAGGACCTGGAACACTCTGTACTTTGGTAACAGTAGACCACCAACAGGCTCACATACAACACTTTGACATTGTAAAAATATGAAACACTGACATTAACGATGAAAAAAAAAAGCACTTAGTTTTAGTGAGAGGGAATGAGCAGAAAGAAGCTGAATAACACTATGAACAACCTCTTGCCACAGGCACATTTACTGCAAGATCTTATTTACTGTGACTCCATCATTAATTTACACTCTCAGCTTAGCTTTCACTGAAATTTACAATAAACCTAGCTCATCTGGTAGTGCACTAGACCAGACTGGTCTAACGCATGACAATTCCTTTCTTTGTTTATTCTTCAAAACATGCAGAAAATCATGGACTCCCCCACCACTCTGCCCACTGGAGGCTGGTGAAGATGAATTTCATAATCCCACCACTTCTCACCTCTCCCATGCAAAGCCACCTGGGGATGCTCCCTCACGTGGCCTGGGGGTCAAAACACTCAGCAAGCTGAAAACTGCTTGCTGCTCAGCAGGAACACTCCAAGCAGCTTCCAGCACCTGCGATGGTCCAGTAGAAGAGAGCAGCATGTCTACTGGCCCAGGTGGGGCTGGATGAGAACAGTGTTTGGATTCTGAGTGGCAAAACCAGCAAATATTTTTCTACACAGTGTTATGTTAGTTGACACGGTCTGTATGTTAGGACTTCTTGCTATCAGTGTAGACCAGACAGATTTGAGCTATATCATAGTTTGTCACACTATGTAAAAGGCTACTCAGCCTTTCTGTACAGGGAAAAAAGAAGAATAAAAAGAATGATTCCTACTGCAATGCCAAAAACAACCGAAGCAAGAGGAGAAACTTCCTCAGTTGAGTCCAGAAACTGTTTCAGCCAGGAATCAAATGCAATCAGGTTGGCTTTTTTCTTAATGTAGTGCTAAGCTTCATTAGCAGAAGCAATGTTTTAAGTGTATGCAGACTAACATATCATATTTTAAAAGGGGATAAAAAGAAATTTGTAAAGGTATCTTGGAAACATTAAAGGCATCTGCCCATTCCCACAACAGGCTTATGATAATACACAGAATGGCCCTAAAGACATCCATACATAAGCTTTTAATACAGGATTGCCTACAAGTAGAAGCATTAAATTTACAACCTGCCAGAGCAGTTCACCTCACTTAAAACTAACAGCCTTCTCTGCAAGAGAAAATACAGCAGGCTGGATGAGCTGCTTGAGAGGTTATTACCTGTACCGGCCTCCACCTTCCAAGAGGAAGGCAGAGATGAGGAGGCCTATGAGCTACTGTGGTAGCATCAATACAACAGAAGCACAAAGGTATATGCACTAACACTGTGCAGGTGTGCACACAAGAAAAACCCCACAACAGTATTCTGAGAGTGTAGGGCTGCAGTGCGTACAACAAGCAGCTGCTCTCCATAAAAAGCAGCTTGCATATGATGATCTCAGGGCTTCACTACAGCTTGGCCAGAAGGGCTGACTGCTTATGCCTGCAAACCATCTGCAGTCTCAGATATTGGAAAGGCAGTCAATGCAGCTGGTTTTCACCCAGTTTTGTAAAGATCTCCATCTAAGTAGGAAGCTGAGGCTTCCTCTACATTCAATAGAGATGCACAGTTTAAAGACTTAGCTCACTTAGCTATTTTAGGTATCTGCTGTAAAGACACAATTGATAGCTCAACACCACCTTTCTCCATTAGCCGAAGAATGAGCTTTGGCTTATTTCAATGCAGATAACTACATTTACTCAAATGGATCCCACTTTTGGCATCCTAACTAACCAGCTTCAAAATACAGCAGTAATCTAAAGGGCAAGTCTGGGTTGTCAGACCACAGATTACATTTACAACATTAAGGAGTCTGATTCTGAATTCTGCTTGGATGAAAAGAAATGAAACACATGGCTATGCAACTACACAGGTTGTCTGGGATTGTGTACAGCACTGCATGCAATGCCTGTTCTAGCTCTGCTGTCCTCTTCAGTGAATGAAGCTGTTAAGCAGATTGCGCTGTCACAATGGCTAAGGCTCACATGTAAAAGATTAGAAAACATGTGCTTCTTAGTATCACCAGAAAATCAGTTGTCTTGAAAGGGTTACTACTGAGCTATAACTAATATTAAGACATACATTATGAATATCAAGACATACATTATCAATACATTGTAAATATGTCAATAAATTGTTCCAAATTCTAACAGTCAGCAGTTTACCTTGTCCATAAAGAAAAAAAAAAAAAAAAAAAACACAAACAAAGAAAAACAAACACAAGAACAAAGCCTTACACAAGGTGGGGGGAGAAGGTAGGGAGGGGGAAGCCAAAAACCTGACAATCTGCATTAAAAAATACTACCAAAACTCCAACAAATGTCTAAAATTTTAATCTTGGAACAATGACCGTTTTACAAAGAGATTTTAAAGACTAAGTGTACATATTCACAACAGCAACAGAATAAGGCATATTCTCCATATCCATGTTCATAAATAAAAGACACTGAAAAGCACTGTGACCTGATCTCATTTAAACCTGTCAAGCAGTAAAGACTTCAAGCATTTTATTTACTTTTATATATACTAGATTGTCAGTTTATTCACAATTACCACGAATATGTGCTAAACTCATTTCAAAATCACTGAAACAAATATTCTAATACAAGCAAAAGCTTAAACCTTAAAGTGCTCATTAAATACCCAACATTTTAGTTGTAATTAGGACATGTTGAAGATTACTACATTCCTTAAACAGAATTTGAAAGAACATTATATACACAATCTACAGTCATCAGTATAAATAGTAAATAATTTAAATTCGTATCTCAAATGTGACTAATAGCAAAGGGATTCTAAGAGACCCTGATTCTGCCAGAAAAAAAATAGAAATCAGAAGAATCATCCCGTACAGTCACAAGAATTATGTATCCCCAGTGCTGCCATTTTGGTCAATCCTTGTGACTAATTCTGATTACATCAATCCTGAAGCACCTACCACTACATTACCAACACGGCATCACAGCAGCCTTCTTGTGACAGAATTGACTGGGACAATTGAACAGGAAATGTTGCTACTAAGTGTAATGAGACCCAAGTTCCTTAATTATACAGAATAACTATGTACTACAACACATTACAGTTTGCAGAGATAAAAGAACTCTGAACTATACTGTCAAACAATAAAATTTAGATGTCCTGTATTATCATTTTTCAATGAACAACAGTGTTTAGAAAACAAGTTAGAGGTATCTGTGACAAATGCAAAAGCCTAAACTGGCTGTTTTACAAAGTCTAACTGGTTCAATTCAATCCAGATCCACAGTATATTTACTAGACAAGTCACTTATCCTAATAAGAGCAAATCAAACCTCTCTACCTCACCACCAATCCTATGCAATTTTGACTTACAGTTTTCTGGCCTATGGTATTATCCTGTACACAGGTGAAGCCAGTTTCACACAGAACTAATATGAGTTCACTGGAACAGGTTGCCCAAGAAGGTTGTGGATGCCTCATCCCTGGAGCATTCAAGACCAGGCTGGATGTGGCTCTGAGCAGCTTGGTTTGGTGGCTGGAGACCATGCATATAGCAGGGAGTTGAAACTAGATGATCTTTGTGGTCCTTTTCAACCCAGGCCATTCTATGATTCCATGAGTTATCCGTAAAATGTTAAACTCTCTGTCACTATACTCTTCATGGCACACAAGCTTCTCAACATTTTCTGTTAAAGTACAGCTCAACAAGCTTTCAAAAATGCAAACACCCTTAAAACACAAGAGTGTTCATGAATGTGAACACTCACATACTCACAATCAAGAGTATATAACTTCCTGTCATTTTTTTTCACTTCTCACCTGCAAAGATGGGTAACACTTCATTCTCTTTCAGTATTCTCACCAATTCTACAACTAGACTTCGTAACTTTTGGAAAGATACAACAGTATACCCACTAACATACAATAATGTGATTACAGTAAATCAAAAGCCATAAACTAAAACAACAGTGAAACTTCTATAAATGCACTGGAACTCTGTAAAAATTGCATTTTAATTTTTGGTCAACATTCCTGCTAATGTTAACTCTGCTGTACAAAATCACTTTAATGTCTGCAGGAATAAGCCCCTTGTGCAATACTTGAGTTTTAGCTTAGTGTACAGTAAGCCTGAACTACTAGTTTTCTTAAAAATAACAGACAGGACATTGTAAAGCCGTGTTTCGTCCATACTTAACCCATTTCTAGATTATTCCCTTGTAAAACCACATTCATGAGAAAAATTGCTGTGATATTCAGAAGAATTGAAGGCAAGCAAGTGTGCGTGTGCAACAAAAGCTGTCAAGGTGACAAACGATTCAGTGGACTGCTTTCTTCTCCACCTGCAGCAAGCTTCAGTGTTGTTATCTTCCGAGGGGGGTGCTGAGGACTCTTACGAAGGTTGTCATCCATCTGCAGAGAAATAATGAGAGCCGGATCTGGCAAACAGTAGAATGTAAGTTACATGATTAGTCTATTTGTCAGAACTCCTATCAAGAATTCTGGTTTATTGTTTTGTGGTTTTTTTGTGTTTTTTTTAAACCTTACTTTCTTTTAGCCTTTCTTATTTTACCTAGAACAACATATTGGCTCCTTTCTTCTCCCAAAAATCTGATTTAAGTGTTGCTATTCATTCCATGATCATGTGACAAATTAAACATAAAGCAAACAGCTACACTTCTGCTCTGCTCAATTCATTTATTCAAGATTACCAAGGAAAGCAACACTGCTACCTTCTTCTAAGAGGTTGCAGTTTCAATTTTGTACAGTAGCCAAACACTACTATAAAGCAGATCAAAAGTCAAATTGCTAACATAAGTGGGTATTTTTGCATGCTCAGCATCTTACGGGAAGAAAATTTTTTCAACTTTGAAATGATTTGGAGATGCTAGATGAACTTAGATCAGCTAAGATTTCAAAAACTTTTTAATATAGAGATTATAGTATGATCTTTTCAAGTACAGGTTAAAATTCTTCTCTGAATATAAATATTTTACATTTTTCATAGGATAGCAATCTAATACCCTGTATGTACTGCAGTATCGAAAAAAGAAAAGATTTATTACTACAGAACAAGCAGAATCACAGAAGACAGCATAGGAGAAATCTCCAAAGGTTGTCTAGTCCATCCTACTTCCTCACAGTAGGATCAGCTTTGCCTAAACCATGGCTGATAAATGTCTACTTAGCCTATTTTTTAAAACTTTCACAGCTGCCTTTCAATACCTCAAAGAGATACAATCAATACCAAATGGAGCAGAAGCAGGACAAAACTGATGATCCATCTGATACACTGATCTTTTTTAGAAAATGCATTCTGTCCTTCCAGTAAGAGTTTTCTTGCATCAGTAAACTAATTCTTCATAATTACTTTTAACATAAGTTGCATAGCTCTTACAGGTGCTGAAGCACAGTCTTGAAAACACAGGAATAAAAGGCAGACACAGGAGCAGAAGGAAGATGTATGTTAGTGACTGCAAGAAATCAGCTGGGAGCAGAGGAGACTTGGGTACTGATCTCAGTAAGACTAATTTCAAAGTTTTGCTTCTAAGTTTTCTTGCTGAGGTCTTGCAAGACCATTTCTAATTCTGATAAAAACATTTGCATTCCCCCTCGAGTGGTAGATAAGCCTGTGGAAAGTCAACCTTCTACTGTTTGTATGTGCACTTGCAAGGGCATCGTTGATTGTAGTAAAAATACTTTACATGTAAGACTTCATCAATTAATTTCTTTCAAAATAGCTAATTTTCTTCCCTCATCTCTATACAAAGTACCTCACTAGAAAAGAAACAAACTAAAATATTAGTTGCACAGTTGCAGTTGTAACAGTATTTGTGAACAAACAGCCACAAAGTAGCAGGATAATAAAGAGACTGAAGCAAAAGTAACCTTTTCAATCAAGTTGGATTCCTTATTTACAAGCTGTGTGAGTTTCTGCAGATTAGCATCTGCTGTATCCTGTCCAGATGGAGAATGGCCTAGAGAGTGAAGGCAGAAAGATGAAGACTGAAAAGGTATTTACAAAAGCTTTTACATTCTTAAAAGAAACAAACAAATATTGGAAGAAAAGTTCATGCACTGTTTTTATCCTAAGATGAATTTAAGTGGAAAAGCCATTTTGTCATAGAAACGGAAACAAAAAGCATGAGCCATAGAACAGATACAAGCAGATTTTGCCAAGGCATGACAAGCTTTAAATCTGAGAATTAAACCTTGCCTTTAGTTTTCAATCCTTTCTGCACAACCACGGAAGCTTATCTACATCATTTCCCCACAGAACCTCCAGCACAAATTTATAAAATCTTATTTTGCTTTAGTTCAAATGTGGAAACCACCACTACTGTTTCAAACAGATTATACATGAAAAAGTGAAAAAGAGACATAACTTACCTGTAACAGTTAACTTGAAATAGCAGGTTAAAATATCATCACAGAAGCGACACAGGTTGGTAAGCTGTTTCAAATGCTCTTGTAATTGTACTCTAGGGAAGCACACTTTATAAACTGGTGCAAGGAAACCAAACACGAAGGCATCCAAGGTAGTAGGTCTGAAAAGAATGGCAAAACAGGGCAAAGCCCAAGCATGACTGAGGTAAGACATCAAGACCTCCATGAACGTAACCAGTTTCTGTGTATATCAGACAAAATTTAACACAGAATCTTCTAAGATTTTCAGGCACTGTTTTTATCAGATATAAAAAGACACTTTGAAGAGGCTATCTATTGATTTCAGCACCTCTGAATTAGAGATGTGCTGGTAAACTGGAACAGTTGTTTTAGCATTAAAATACAATCATGTATCATGCACACTGGTAAGCAATCCAGTCTAGAATACATTTCTGGCATTACAAAAGCCAAGCAGACAAGATGCATGCCAGTGGAGCAGGACCCTTTCACATGAAGAAGTCTAACTTCACTGGCAAAGGGTACAGATTGTCCTTCTTGGGTGCTATCTTGGCAATATATATGCTTCCTGTTCTATGCCCACAAGAAAGACCAGCCTTCTCAGACCTATGCCATCTTTCCAAGGAGCTAGTGGTAACACCTCAGGCTTCAGGTATTTTTTCTACAAGCAATCACAGGAGGTGACATTCACTGGCTAGAGAATGATTTTCTAACAGAAACCTAACTCATTAAGCATCCTACATGAGCTGATATAGGCAGGGTCTGCCACCCTACGGAAAGATGCAATATAAAAGACACTCTGGACTGAGATTGCTAAAAAGCAGGGTGTGAATCATAAAACTGTACAGCACCTTCTAACATTCTAGCAGATTAAAAAAAACAAGTGCTAAGCATTCACAGAATCACATGGCATCTGTTTATTAAAAATAACAACAACAAACACCAACGTTAAAAACTAAGAAAGCACACTCACGTATTTCCAAAGAAAAACGGAGATGTTCCCAATCTCTTTGACAGGAGATTTAGGCACTCCTTGGCATCCCTGTATATCTGATGAGACACAGAAGAGCCCTAGCTGAAGCAAACAGTAGTACACACACTATCAAACACCATTATCACAGTGCGCTAGCTTATTTCATGACAGCACCAACTTACAAATTCTTTACTACACAACATGTACCTGTGCTTCCACTTCAGTGAGACTGTAGAGAGGAGGGCCTCCTCTGGTCAGCAAGATCCTGTTGAGTGCTTCCCTGGACATCTTTCCAGGCAGATACAAACTTAGTGGGAAGGGAATCCTTGAGGCAAACCACGGTTTTGTTACACTGCAGTAATTTTCAGCCTCGACCCAAAAAGTGTGCAGCTATATCAACACAAGGAAGAGTATGACTGAAATTTGAGTAAAAACATTAGACTTCTCTAAAAAGTATAATGTGTAAGACTTGCCACAGGAGAAAAGGGAATTATTGTACTTTAAAGCGCTTAGCTCTGCAAGGATTATATTAATCCTTTGAGTTTAAGAGTATATCATTAAGAACACAGAGCTACCTTCAACCTAAATAAAAAGATAATGCTTATATACACATGCACAAAATTGCATAGTCATGCATACACATGCCTGTATACACACATGCATAACTGCACAAAGAAACTGTATTACAACATAAGTTTTGAATGTGTAGGATCAGGTTTGAAATTTTTGGAATTTTCTTTTGAAATTTCACATACAATCTAAAATGAAAATATGCTAGGAAATTATGAATTTGAAAGCCTTGCAGGACAACTGAAGAGGCTACTTGGTTAAAGTACCTTTTCCTGTATAAATTCAAGTCAAAGGTATTCAACAGCTCAAATGCTTGCAGGTTTTTTTATAGCTATAATGTACTGACACTAAATTGGTAAGGGCGTGTAGCCATGTGTTATTTACTGAAACAAAAAATGAAGCAGTGGTGGGTATTTCAAAAGTTCCCACTTAACAGCTCAAAAGGCTTTTGGAGCTGTGCAGCCCACATCAGCCATACAACATGTTATTCCAAGCCTTTTCAAAAAGCATCATGAAACAAAGAACTGCCAGAATAAGCTGTTTGCAGGATACTGTTCCCAAAAAGCATCTAAGAAAAAACACATTCAGAGATGCCATTTTAAAAGTCTTTCTTAAGTTCATTATTATTACTTCACACCTCCCACATGCTTTTTTCTTTTTCGAAGTTGCTAGGCAGTCTTTTCAAAATTGGACTAAAAATGCAAATACTTTCAAGCCAGGACTACGGCTGACAAACTTCTCTGTCTCTCACACTGGGCACCCCTTGCAATACTCATAAAATTCTAGCCCTTATAAAGAATTCACTAGTATTTACCAGGGCAGGAAGCAGTTTCTCTTCAAGTAGTGCAATATAAGCCAGTGTATCAGCTCCTTGTTTCGCAGACAATTCATAATCAGCATTGTATCTCTGTGAATTTAAAATTAAAACAAAACAACAAGCAAGAAAACAGTCACCAACCACCTCATACTATAAATAGTGTTACATGGAACTTTCAGCTTCTGACTCAAACAGGGAATCCTTTCAAGGAACACAGCAAGGGCTGGAATTTCACAAATTTAGAAATGGCAAAAATTGGTGTTGATTTACCTTATTTTTAGGTATCTTAAAAGCATGCCAATTACTGGTATACTTTGGAGTTAAATAGGGTGCTCTTTTTCCATCAATATGGAATCTTTGGTATTCAAATGGATAGGAAACTGCAGAATTTTAAAAACAGTGTCTTCAATCTCAACCCAAATGCTCGGTTTTCTATTTTTCTCCAGAGAAAGATTTAAAAGTTTCACTAAGATGCCTTTCATCAGACAGTTTTCTTAACTAGACAGGAGCAGAATTTCTAATGTAAACACAGAAGAGTGGGCTGAAAGACCATCTTAGAAATTAAAGTGATGATGCCATGCTTTATTAGACATCTTTATACTTGCGAAACGAAGCAGCACTATAGCTTTATTCTTTTTAATAAAACATTGAGAGATCTACAAAAGGCAAGCAAGATTTGATTACACAATAACATGATTGCATCTAGAAATGCCTGCAGACGTTTTTATGCTACAGGCTACAGAAAAACTACATAAATTAAAAACAACACCATGTGTTATACTTCAGAAGAAAAAAAGGTGAAAAAAAAAATGAGTACACCAGGAGATGATTACCCATTTAAACAGTTAAAATTACACTTCCCTAACTGTGATCTCCTTGGTCTGCAAAGCTGCAATGATGTTATAGTGTTATAATTAACAGCATGATGAAACTCAGTAAGAAACTGCTCAGTTGAGGCTAGCCTGTTGTCCTTTTTCAATGAAGAATTTTCCTGTGCCTGTTTTTAAATTTTTCATAACAACCAAACTTTTAAGCAGCAATCTGTGATCCACCATTTTTCAATTCTCATGTGTGTACAAAATACTGAAAAGCAGTTAAGTCAGAACTGGTTTCCAAGTTTTAAGAAACCTACATAAGTCTGTGTGGAGAATGCAAAAATTCACTACAAGGAAGAAGAAACCTATCTTCTGAGAGCAACATACCTGCTTTCTTAAGAAGTTTAGTATTTTTGCTGGCTGAGAAATAACAGTGTCTTCTGATATAAGGACTGGTACGTCTGCTAGAAAGAATAAATAATACAGTCAACAGAATTTATACGTAGCAATTCTAATTTAACTGGAAAGTGATCAATCACTTCATCTGTTTTCCTTTCCTCACTGCATTCTCTGACCTTCCCAACACATATGTATCAAGTAAGCTATATGTAGTTGATTTCCACCAAGATCATACACATATTTGGCATACAGTGGCCTTTGCTAATAATACATAAAAAAGGGCCCAGACTGAAACCAATGTCATCTACTAGGTATCTGATTCTTTGAGATCTGGACTTTAACAAGAATATCCGCTAGGCCTTTTTCTTTCTATTTTTTCCTTGCCCTTCCTAAACCACTTTTACAGCCTGCAACTACTGATTAAGCTACCAGTGCCTAAAGAAGGCCTATTCCAGAATCAAAGAATTTTCTTCTCCCAGAAGCATATTAGTCTGCTTTTACTCATTAGATTGTAGAATTAAAGACTGTAGACTGTACATCTCTTTAACAGAGGCTGCCTTATAGCATGTTTACAAGGTACCTGCCACAGTGAGCCTAACAGGACTATTAAGCTAAATACTGCTGAAATATCAATTATAAAATACTTTGATTTTTTTTTTTCTGGTAGGGATTTTAATTATCTTGCCCATGAAGAAAGCCACAAAAATTATGGAGAAGTAAGCTAAACTAGTTCTTGGTAGTTCTGCTAACAGAAAGCAATACACCAAAGAATAAGAGTGAAAGGTGCAACAACAGGTGGACACAGTAGTGCCTAAAGACGTGATAAGTTTTAGTGACAAACTACTTCACCTTGCAGTGACGTTACTCGTCTGGAATACACAAACACAATGACTTAAACACTGAGCAAACAGATAAGCAGTATGAATAAAGATTCAGTGTAAAGAAATCCTCTGACATCATCTCTGACAACCCACTTGGCACCTACCTTGTCAGCCAGCTTTCCTGATTCAAGCTCTGTGACTTAGGACAGTACCAAATATCCTACCTGATACAAGTTACACTCTTTCAGGCTCACATTCTACATCCACCCACAGAAGCTTCTTAAATCATGTGTAATTAAAGAACGCTACTTCCATTATGCAAGTCTAGTAACTACTGTATAAATATTTCCAAGCAATTGCCTTCAATGTATCATCCCTTCAGACTGCCTGACAAAACAGGTGTGTGCTTTTGCACTGCCACTTTGTTGACTCTCCTCTGCATCACCCATACACATTTTACTAAGGTGCCCTTTAAGGCATTCTTTATATCTTCTGTTACTTGTCGCTTGCAAAATCATCACACTTTAATCTGTAAAGATGCTTATTAATATGTAATGGAAGCAGGTAAACCGCACAGGGACGGACAGAGCATGAACACAAAACCAAAGGAAATGAAGAAAAAGACACTTTGGGATTAGAACCCACACTTCTAAAGCGACGAGGATTAAAATAATAGAAATGCAAATAAGGTACCTTTTGGAGTGCTCCAGGAATTATTTATAGTATTCACTGTCAGAGGAGCTCCAGCAAATTTAGCATAAGCCTGCAACAGATTGCAGAAAATAATCGAGTTAGCACATAATAAATGTAAGACAGCAATTCAAAAAAGCAGGCCTGAGCATTCTGATCAGCTGCACTGGGTTAAATAATTATTTAAAAGTTCACCAACACTATGCGCATCTGCCAGGTTTCTGATGCAGGATCAGGCTCCTATTTTTGAGGGTTCTGGTCAGAGCTCATTGCAGCGACGTGCAATAACCAATAAGGTCAAAACTTATTTCAGTGTTCCGGGCTGCTCGGTAACGCCTGTCCCCTGCCAGGCGGCTCCCTATGGGCACGCGCGGGCCCCGCTCGGCCCCACCGCATCCCGGGCCCCGCTCGGCCCCACCGCATCCCGGGTCCCGCCGCCCCGCGAGCCGCCGCCATGCCCCGCGCCCGGTGCAGGCCGCGCCCAGCTTCAGGGCGCCCCTCGGTGGCGGCACCGCCTTCGCGGCGCGAGTAGCCCAGCACAGCCGCCCGGGCGCGGGGCAGCCCTCGGCACCGCGCTTCCCTCCCTGCCGCCCTCCTCCCGGGGCAGGTGGTGGCCTCCGCCGTTACCATGACGGTCAGAGACTCCGGATGGAGAGACGGCAGCCCCCAGTCACCTCCCCAGCAGCTCAGCTCCATGGGAGCCGCCATCTTGTCCGCCGGCAGCGCGGGCCCGGGGAGCGCGCCGCTGCTGCCTTCGCATGGCGGCGCTCGAGCGCCCCCGGCAGCGCCTCCGGGAGGGAAAAGCGGCTGGAGCTCCTCGGGGACCGCTGGCCGTCCCTGGCTTAGAGGCTTCTCCCCTCACGCGCCGTTCCCGGGCCCGGTTGCCCGAGGCCATCACCCTGCCCGCCGTGAAAAATTTACTGCTTGGAATGACTGCGTGGTTGAACCCCGGCTCTGCGGGGCTGGTTGTGTTGCCCAAAGTCACGGCTTTCCACAGGAGCGAAAATGACGACTTTTGAGCAGCCGTCAGCAATTTGCCTTCAAAAATACGCACATCTGATTGTGTGATACCGTTTTTGACCAAGTAATTATGAGCTCGTGCAGTGTGTGTTTCTACTGAGGACGTCTTAAGATACCAGTCTGCTATTCAGGTCTACAGCACACAAAGATGAGGAGAGCAAGGGCTCTCAAGGTTTCTTCCTCCCTGCATCATCAGATCTGTGGTTTCAGATCTGAATGAAAGTTGTGTCACAAACAACCATTTCTGTATGGAGGATAAATCAGCTTAGCACTCTCCTTATGACAGACTGCAAGAAGGCTTAGACCTTCCTTGCTCTGCCTTGGGCCCAGTTCATCTCTGTGCCATTATGATGCCCAGAGCAAAGATGGAACAGGCAATAAACATCTTCCCTACCTCATCCAGAGGCTTTCCATGAGGTTTTCCTCTCGGTTGCCTGAGTGGAATTTCTGTTAGTATCAATGAAATGTAAATATGTGCTCAGAGAATGGATGTATGCCTTGACTTGAAAAAATGGAGCTTCAGTTTGTGACTTCTGAAAAGGCAAAACTTGCTCTGAAATCTGTGTTTGAAACCTTACATTCTTTCTACACACCCTTGCAATGAAAATGTGGCAGGATCAAACTCCTAAATGTTGACAGAAGTACAGAAGAATGTGGTTTAGAGCTGTACTTCACTGAGATTTCACTTGCATTAAGGCTTCTCTCGTTTCACTTCTCATTAAGGGTTTTACATGCACCTTGGTTTTTAATCATCCATAAAACTCCATAAAAACGGTGAGTCTCCTCGTGGATATTAGGAACAAAATACGAAACCTAAATTAAGCAGCAGGGATTCCTTCCTAACTCCTTGGTCACATTACTTGGAATCTGCACAGGCCATGAAGACTTCTGCAAAGGAAAATCTATCAAATTGGCAGCTACTCTGTATTTTCTACATCTACATCTACATTGGTTTACATAAAATAAGGAGAACAAATATTTTAGCAGTTGGAGTTTACTTGCATATCTTCTATTAACAAAAGTTAATCTTGCGTTCCTGTGAAAAAGAAATTCCTTACAGAAGTTTCCTGAAGGTTTCTTGAAAACATTATGCCTAATAACCACTTTCTGATTTGTATTCAAGGTACCAACCTTCAGTAAGTTAAGCTGGAGTTTGTACGTCAGAGAAAACACAAGAGTGAAAAAGAAATGGCTATTATTCTGTTGTTGTTATTGAACATGATGGTTACAAGGTCAAACAGATGGTTACAAGGTCAAATAGTCCCATCCAGACAGCAGATAAACACTATGCTTTGTAAAAATCCCTTTAGGAAGGTTTTGCTTGAGCACAAAATCTCTTCCAGTCTGTAGCATACTCCAATAATAAAAATGAAAACTTGAAAAATTGCAGTAGCATTTGTGCATACTGGCTAACTTAAACATTATCATAAACTTCTGCTTATGTATTTTGTGAACTTGTTCTGTTTCATTTTATTGTGCTCTTTTTCCCAAATTTTGCTCTAACATGCATGGTGAATAAGCACAACGAATGAGCAGGCAGAGGAACAACAGAATTTGGCACTCAAACATCAAATAGCAAGGAGAATAAAATGCCATGAACGAGATCTTCCTCACATTGAGTTGATTAGTACCAGTCCGCAAGACTTCACTGTAAGTAACTTAGAAGTGAAAAACAAGTCAAAATGGTTCATTAAATAGTTTATAAAAAGGAACTTTCTGAGAAAATATTTCTTACATTTTGATAAACTCAAAGAAATTACATACGTGGATGCAAATAATTGTTAGCATTCCTCCAGATAGGCAAACACAAAACTTTTCCATCTAATGAGATTTTCTTTTTTATCTGCAGTAGTAACTGAATACTTTACATGAAGCTGTGATGATTTTGCAGATCTTCACGATGCTTTTGTGTTAGGCACTTAAACCTAATATCATGGCTGGAAAAAACTACACTATACAGTTCATTCATGAAAGAGAAGCAGCATTATATAAGCAAAATATAATGTAGCAATCTAACTGCAACTTAAGAAGATTGGAGGTGGCTGGATACACTACATAGAGGGTAGGGTTAAACACATTCATATACGATATTTCTTGTGAGCCTGAAGGCTCAGAGCAGACTCATTTGCTTTCTGAACTTGAACCACAGAGATAAGGAGCCAAGGTGGATCCACACCGAGACTTGGTCAGCAGTTTATGGCTAAGAAATCATATGTGCACAACAAATCTAAAATACAGTCTTAGAGAAGCTAAAAAAGCTTAAAACAAAAAATTAATCGCTTTCTGAGGATCTCTATCAACAAAGTATCTTAACGTCAAAGTGTAAGAGGTGTTACACACAGGTGTAACAGGTGCACAGGTGTAACCTGTTAAGGCTTCTCTACTTAAAGGGAAATCTTGACTACAATCCACTACCAAGTAGGTGAGCTAGAGGGGCTATAGATTGCTTGTTATTTATGCGGCAAGATGGTTGAGTGATAGTCATAATTTGTTCTTTGGTTCATGCTCAGTTGGCCTTCAGCTGTTGAACCAAGTCTCTGCTATCAGTTATTTTAGCCTCCCAAATTTGAGACAGATTTGTAGTTGTTAATCTGTCTTAACAAGAGCATTATTAGTACTGTTGCTCCTGTCCTCCTGTGTGTGTGTGAGACCGGGCCCAGGAGGAATCTGGGGAACAAGAAGGGGAGGCGGGCATACTGTCATGCCTATGTTGTCAAAGAATGCTCTTTGGTGACAAAAGAGTTTCTCCTTCATGCTAACTGATTATAGAGCAGTATCAGTGCTGCTGTACATCCAGGCATTAGCCTCTGCTAATAACCTGCTGTCACCGTTATTCTTAGGGACAGGTTCTGGGCTGAAACTTAAACTCCTAGGATACCTGTGGCTTTGGTTTTCTTTTTCTTTGTTTCACATCTTTGCTTCCTGCTATCTTCCTCTCAGCCTCACCTTTCTAACTGGTTTGTAATGCTCTAAACCCACTGCTCTGTTTTCCTTTCTCTGTGGTGCAGCACTGTGCCAGCCCATTGGTATCACTGTGCCACTTTCTCACTTCAACCACATGAGCAGGGGTGGGGGGAGTGAAAGTGAGGCATTTTGTGTTGTGTAGAAACACACATGGAAGTGTAGCACAGTGAGGAAGAACACTGTGCTGGGATACACTCAATACAAAGGAAGCACTCTGCAGCCTCCAAATAGGCAAAGAAAGATGTGCAACTGAAGGACTGGGTCAACACACATACAGACAAGTATGGGTGTTCTGTGGTATGGAGGATGTACCGTGTGGGAGAGTATCTCAAGAGCAAGCAACTACAGGCCATCAGAAGGTATTTGGGAATCCCATTGCAGCCACATTGAAGATGAGACCGTGCCTGCACCCTGCGCAGCCACAGGCTGTTCCAGCCCACCCTCCCCTTCCCTGTATGCTGGCAACCTCAGCCCTGCAGCACGTTGTGTCTTGCCCTGCACACAGGTGGTCCTCCTCATTAGTTGTATGCTATGCCTGATGTGCTGAACATTAATCAACACCACTTTGCTCATTTAACATAAATTTTTCCTGCTATTGTTGCTCCTGTTTTTATGATGTAAATGATATCAGACATCTCCAGCTATTCCAGCTGTGCACTGGGCTGCAAGCTGGCAGGGGAGCAGCCACAGCTCCCTGAACTGCTTCTGATGTGGCAGAGGTTTGTCTGTGGGCTGGGGTGAGTGGAGAGACACAGGATGGGGAGGGGAGGGCAGCATGTTGGGAGCCTGTCGCGTGCTGCAAGCCCCTGGTGGGAGAAGCACCCAGCAGTCAGCGGGTCTCTGGTAAGCAAGGTGCAGAGGGGCACTGCTTTGGGGGTGGCTTCCAAAGGACACAGAGCAGACTGGCAGCACAACCTCAGAGGGTTCACTTGTTTGTGTCTTTCTTCCTCAGTGTCAGCAGAGCTGAAACTGGGACCTTCTAGGACAGAAAATTGAATAATTAAATCTTGGGAGTACATCAAGTACTGAAAATGCACGTAGTTGAGAGCTAAAGTGCTGGGGTTTTGTTGTTATTGTTATTGTTGTTTGTTTTTAACTGAACTTGATTTCAAGTCCTGAGGCCTAGGGGTTTGTTAACACAAGCAACCTTTTCTAGTAACCCCAGGTCTGTTGGTTTGAGCTCTCCCAGTATCCCTGAACTCTAAGAGAAATGGCAGATGCCAGACTCCATGTTCCTCACATAAGGCTTCTAGAAACAGAAGTCTTATGAGGAGTGGCTGAGGGAACCAGACTGCTCAGTCTCAAGAAGAGGAGGCTCAGGGGAAACTTTACTGCACTCTACAATGACCGAAGAGAGTTGGGGTGAGGTGGGCATTGTCCTCCCCGGTGACAGTGATAGAGCAAGAGGGAATGACTTCAAGGTGCATCAGGAGGGGTTCGGATTGGATATTAGAGAAAACTTCTTAGAAAGAGTGGTTAGCTATTGGAACAGGCTGCCCAAAAAGGTGGTGAAGGTCAAGAAACGTGTGGATGTGGCACTGAGGGACATGATTCAGGGGGCATGGTGGGAGCGGGTCAGCAGGTGGACTAGATGATCTGAGGCATCTTTTCCAACTTTAACGATTCCACGATTCAGTGAAACCTGGTTTGCTCTGCACTGCAGTCCGCACGACAGCTTTCAACGGCATTCGTTAGCTACAAAAAACCGGTGCAGCTAAATTCGAAGAAAGACCACGTCCCCGCACGGCAG